ACTCTGTACCCACGTTGAGAGGCAGAGCATCAGCGACATAGAATTCCCTGTGCCCCCTCTCCTTCCCTGCAGACCCTCCCCGTCCTGATCTTTGTGAAAATTCTTCCTTTGCTTTAAAAAGTAGTTTTACCACCCATATTCAGGTCTCCACATAACAGTTTGGATTTGTGGTTTTGAAATAGGACTAGATTCTGTGACTTAAGTTGGATGCCTGTAAGATATTATTCTGTCCATTCTGGTTATATTTCATTACAGGCCGATCACAGATTACCTGTTTCACTGGTCATGGACGTGGGTAGTTTGGATTCTGGGTGTAGATGGATGGAGGTGGGGCCACTACATCACAGAGCGTGCGCCTGTCACACCAGGGCTCTCCCCATACGTGGCTGTGGAGTTCACTCCCGCCCGCAGTGTATGTGAGGTCACCTTGCTCCACATTTTCACAAACAATATTCTCAGATTTAGGGGTTTTTTTGCCAGTCAGTTGGTGTGACATTTCATCGTGGCTTACTTTGCGTCTCCATGATTGCTAATGAAGTTGGGTCTTCATAGATTTATTGTCTGTTGAGTTTCCACTTTGGTGATGTTCCTCTTGCCCATTTTTCTGTCTGTTGCTTTCTCGTTGATCTGCAAACACATATATTCTGTAATCCGTTCTTTTGTGGCTGCAAGTGTTGTGAATACTCTCTCCGGGTGCTCGGTGTGCTTGGTACTCACCTGTCCTGTCTTCAGTTCCTTCCGTTCTTGGTTTTAACACTCATCTGTCAGTCTTTTCACTTAGGATTTTTGTTTCTTACTTAAGACTTATTTCTTGGGGTGCCTGGGTGGCTCAGTCGGTTAAGTGTCCGACTTCGGCTCAGGTCATGATCTCACGGTTCGTGGGTTCGAGCTTCGCATCAAGCTCTGTGCTGACAGCTCAGAGCCTGGAGCCTGTTTCGGATTCTGTGTCTCCCTCCTTCTGCCCCTCCCCCACTCATGCTCTGTTTCTGTCTCAATAATAAATAAAAACATAAAAAAAGAAAAAAAGAAATCTTTCTCTATCCTAAGGATACAGAGCTTGTCTCCTTTATTCCAGCAGCTCTTGGTCTGGCCTTCCACCTTGAGGTAGGTCTTTAATCTGCTTTTGATTGTGTTTTTGTGTGTGACCTTGGGGCTGGGGTCGTTTCGCCCTCACACAGTGCGTCATCGTAGCCCTTCCCCTGCTGCTGACCGAAGCGTTGGCCTCTAGTGGTGCAAATCCCGGTGTCTTTTACTTTTGCAACAGCATCTCGGCTTTTCTTAGCCCTTTGTACCTCATGGCATTTCTAGAACCAATTTTGCAGGTTTTGTAAACAAAAACCTTAGAAGTTTTATTTCTGCTGCCTTTACTTTCTAGTTCAGTTGGGACGTAACTAACGTGTTACTGAGCCTTCCAGCTTTTGAATGTAAGGTCACTTTTCAAATATTCCAGGAGGATTCTTTAATGTCTTTCAATTAAATTTTATCATTTTCTCCTTTGGCTGACATAGATCAATCTCACAGAAATTTGTCGTCTGATTTTTGTATCCAACAGCCTTGTTAAATTTCCCTAATAATTAGAATTCCTCTGCAGATGCCCTTTTTTTTTTTTTTTTTTTTTTTTACCGCACATAGTAACTTCACGAATGACAGTTTTCTCTTTTGTCTTTTTTTCCTTTCGGGGCTGATCACTATTAAAGTGTCCTGTGTCCTTTTGCAGTCAGTCCGTTCCACCCACCCTCAGGTGTCCAAGGATCTTTTTGTCAATGTAGTTTTCTCTTTTCTAGAATGTCACAAATGGAATCCCCTGACAGGCTGTCATTTGTGTGGCATTGCTTTTCCTCACTAAGGTGCCTCCCGGTCATGTGGGTGGCTGCTTTTCCTTAAGTGTTTGTAGAATCTCCTTTTAACGTATACTTGCCTGAAAGTTTCAGATTCTTAGATCTGTGAAGGCCTAGTCATGGTGGCTGCCTCTGCTGTGTCTCCCACTCTGGGGCGGCGGTGGGGAGGGGAGCTCCCAGCACACAGCCATCACCCCCTTGCCCTTGTTGCACATCCGGAACTTCTCCTTCATACCTCGTTTCTTTGTTTCTAGTGCTACCTTCTGGATAGTCCCTCAGATCTGTTTACTAGATCACCAATGCTCTCTTCTGTGCTTATAATCCGTTAAAACCCTCATCTTACAGTGTAATTTTCATACAGAAATTAAAATTCAAACCAAAGTAAAAAGAGTAGAAGCCACCACTGAATCAGCTTCAGCAGCGAATTGACATGACGCGTCTTCTCACGCCCTCCGCTGCTTCCCGTGGGTCCCGTGGCTCTCGTTTCATCTGTAAATACCGCGAACTGCCTCTGAAGCAGAGAGCACTGTAAAAACAGTTAACTTCCTTCATCCAATAACCCAGTCACCACAGAAAGGTTACACAGTTGGTTTGTCTAAATTCCAGACGAGGTTCTCACATTGAATATAGTGGATTTGTCTCGTCACTGTAATTTTTTTTCTTTTTTTTAATGAAATTTCTTAGCATTTAAGCAGGGAATGTGGACAACAGAAATCGTGTCAAATCTCTCAACATACAGATTTCTCATGTCCGCCCTTTATTTCCGAAACTAGGTTACTTGCTCTGGAGAATCACACTGTGGATTTCCAGTCTCGTACAGTCACCGTGTCACGTGACATGGGCCTGTGTGCCGCTTGCTGTGCGTCGTACAAGATGGGAGTTGTGTCTAGAGATTTGATAGATCCAGGGTTGATTTTCTGACAGTAATCCGTGGTGGTGGTGGCGTGGGATTGCTGTCGGATCGCCACGGGACACCCGGTCTGCTGGGCTCTGGGACGCTGGTAGCTGTTAATGACAAGTACACGTTTTATTAGAGGTTCCAAGATGCCGATATTCTGGCAGTCCTTCTACATTTATTAGCTGAAAATTAAAAAGAACTTTTCTTCCAAGTACTCGGTTGTCTGCGGTGCGGGTGCCTCCCAGTTGAAGCAGGACAGCTGCATGGATGCGTGGGTCTTTCCCTGTATTTAGCTGTGTGCAGGGTGCTGTATTGGAGTTCTAGCTTTCTCTAGAGGCGGACTTTAGTTCTTTTATTTTTTTTTATTTTTAATTTAAAAAATTTTTTTAATGTTTTCTTTATTTCTGAGAGAGAGACAGCGTGAACAGGGGAGGGTCAGAGAGAGAGGGGAGACACAGAATCTAAAACAAGCTCCAGCTCTGAGCTGTCAGCACAGAGCCTGACGTGGGGCCCAAACCCAAGAACCGTGAGATCATGACCTGAGCCAAAGTTGGACGCTCAACCGACTGAGCCACCCAGGCACCCTGGACCTTAATTCTTTTAAACCATCTCAGTCCACTGCAGTCACTCTGCTGATGTCCCCATGGTCTCATTTGGCAGCGGGAGTCCCTTCAAAGTGGACTCCTCACCCTGACACAGTCCTGGGCATCAGATGGCTTTCCGCTTTCCGGCACTTTGAAATGTTGTCAGGTTTGTGGCCCAGTGCTGCCATCTGGGATCAGGAACCATCTTTCCATGGGGTACTGGGTTGTTCTGAGTGGGAAATGGTATGAGAGACCATACTCTAGGCACCAGGGCCCTGTTCCTGCCGGGCAGGTCACTGTTTCTAGGCCTTTTCAGTGCTAAGAGGTAGCGAGTGCTCCTGACTCCCAAGAGAAAATGTATCCTTCATATTGATACTTTCAATTTAAAGATCGGTTTTTACCGAAATTGTCTTTTTCTCCTATGCTAAAACTCTTGGTTTTTGTAAGCCCCGATTTTTAGTATGTCTACAGAGCTGTGTGTGCACACATGCGTGCACAGTATCCCAGAGACTGACCGATCGCTTTCAAAATAGCGGTGGTGGTAGGAGGGCTGCAGGCAGTTGGAGACTTTTTTACACTTGGTTTTGTTCTTCTGTAATACTCCCACTAGGGATGGACAGACAGCCAACTTCTCTTGTTTTAAAGGCACCTGGACTAATTCTTCTGTTTGGTTAATACACTGCTAGGTTCATTTCTTTCACTTTTTTTTGACTTTAGGAATTGCTTTCCTTGGTTTAACTTTAATGATTATATAAAACAATGACATGGTTCCAAAGAAAACTCTATAAAGCAGGTACATTCAGAAATCTCCTTTCCATCCTTCTTCCCTCTGGTCACCATTAGTTTTTAATTTTGCTTTTCCCTAATTCTCACGTATTTACATATATGGATATATCTTTGCCTTCCTCCTCCTCTTAGAGAAAAGGTAGTGAAGTCTTCATGCTGTCGTAGATACGTATTGTTGTAATTTGGCTGCGTATCCGAGACTACCCCCTGCAGCAACACAGGCCCCCCTCACTCCAGCTGAGGACTTGGTACCGAGGACGTGCTGTCGCTCGTGCGTGGAACTGCTCTCAGTGCGTGGACATTTGGGTTTCTAGCCTCCACTATTATAAGCGGTGATAGCCTTTTGCATCCGTCCTTCTGCGTTTTAGCCAGAGTGTGTTTTTGGTGTTTTTCTTTGAAGTTTATTCATTTTGAGAGAGAGCTCACACACCTGCACAAGCCGGGGAGGGACAGAGGAGAGAGAATCCCAAGCAGCTCCTGCTGTCTGCGCAGAGCCTGACGTGGGGCTCGATCCCACTGACTGTGAGACCATGACCTGAGCCGAAACTGAATCAGACACTTACCCAGCTGAGCCACCCAGAAGCCCGTGCCCGAGTGTCTGTCGGATACCTCCGGTGGGGCTTCTGGGTGGGAGGGTACAAGTGGGTGCCTGGTCTGCCATCTTGATGTGTCTGCCGGATGTTGGGGCTTTACTAGAATCTGGGGAACGAGTCGCTCTGATTGAATTCTCTCCATTTTATTTCTCTTTTCCCTTTTTTTCAAGGGTAGAGAATAGTTGAAATCTCTGGAAACTGACCTCAGTGACCTGGCAAAGTTGCTGGATTTCTCTTTGGAGCTCTTTGTGGACGATATAATCCTAAACCTTCACTAACGTTTATCTTTCTGAAATTTCAGCAAATCCCTTTATGAATACTCTAAGACCTTCATTGTGTCTCTTGTGCTAGGCAAGGATGTCATCCCCAGGTGAGTCTGCTGGGTGCTTCCTCTTCTGGGTTTGGGGCAGCTGAAAGACCGAATATTGAGCCTGTCTGGTCTTCTGCTAAACAGGTTAAGTGTGACCAACTTGGAAGATTTGAAGAAGAGAATCTTGCGAGTGATTGCGCACTGTAACAAGCCCAAGGTAACCTGGGGGCACCCGGAAGAGGATCTGCAGGAGTTGGGAGGCTGTATGTGCCCAGGAGAGGGTGTTCCTAGATTCAAAGGCTCTTAGCCCAGGGCATTCGATGCTCTTGCCTGAGGCTCTTTCTCCCTTCCGTACAGATTTCTGTCAGGTCTGTTCTGCAGACTTCTGTTCTGCAGTCTGTCGGGTTCTGTGGCTGATGGCAAGGAAAGCAGATGGCTCGGTCCTGAAATGCCAGTTAGGGACTGTCGTAGAACCTTCCCTGCTCTGCTTCAGTGATTGGCTTTCTTAGCCCTGTCTTGTCACCGACAGTGTTCTGATGCTTTTGCTCCCAAAGCTTGGAAAGTAAAGCTGCCAAATAAGAGTTTACGAATTAGGAAACTAGTTATACCATGGGATGCTCTAGTCAGGAGCATCCTGAGTGTGTCAAGATGTGTCAGGCGACACATCCGGAGTGTGTCAGGTGACACACACTTCTGTTTACCAATAGAGATAGACCCATGGTGTGTTGAAAAGTTTTTGTTTTTAAGAGCAGATTTTATTTTTTTTAATTAATTTATTTTAAATGTTTTATTTATTTCTGGGGGGGGGGGGAGAGAGAGAGAGAGAGAGAGAGAGAGAGAGCGAGCGCGCGCGCGCGTGAGCAGGGGAGGGTCAGAGAGAGAGGGAGTCACAGACTGAAACAGGCTCCAGGCTCTGAGCTGGCAGTCAGCACAGAGCCCGACGTGCGGCTCGAACCCACGAACCGCGAGATCATGACCTAAGCGAAAGTCAGACGCTTAACCGACTAAGCCACCCAGGCGCCCCTAAGAGCAGATTTTAAAGTGATCCTCAGGGCGCCTGGGCGGCTCAGTCAGTTAAGCCTCCGACTTCAGCTCAGGTCATGATCTCATGGTTTCTGGGTTCGAGCCCCACATCAGGCTCTGTGCTGACAGCTCAGAGCCTGCTTCCAATCCTGTCCCCTTCTTCTCTGCCCCTCCCCAACTTGAGCTCATTCTCTCAAAACATTAAAAAAAAAGTTTTGGGTTTTTTCTTTTTTTAATGATTCTCAAGGGCACCTGGGTGGCTCAGTCGGGTAAGCATCCAGCTCTTGCTTTTGGCTCAGGTCATGATCTCACAGTTCAGGAGATCGAGCCTTGGGTTGGGCACCATGCTAACATCACATCCTTTTTGGGATTCTCTTGACCCTCTCCCCAGCTCACAGTCTCTCTCTCTCTCTCAAAGTAAATGAACATTTTAAAAAATAAGAATAATACAAAAATGATTCCTAGAGGTATGATCCAAGGCAGGGGAGGGATATGTAACAAGGATATAGAGTTTTTATTTAATATGATTTAATTTAATATGAAAAAGTTTTCTGATGTTTTTGTTGCTAATCAAAAACGTTTTTTAAATGAGCTTTCTCCTTATCAATTACTCTCAGATTTTTAAAAAGTAATGTTTAGGGAAAAAGGGAAGCTGGATGGCAGAAGGGTAACTTTTTCTCAAAATCTGCATGATTTGGTTTTTACTATTGTTTCAAGTTTGATATGGCTTCATTGTGCAAGAGATGCGGGAGTTCGGGGCACTGACGTCCACGCCCCTAAGATTCACGATTTAAACAAACCAGGGAGGCATCTGAGCTTGGAGGTCACCGTCCTGCAGCACTGGCTGTGGGTCCGCGATGTGCGTGGCCAGTTGCAGGGCCGAGCACTGGGCAGGCCGAGCACCAGGTGGCCGAGCACCATGCGTGCTGCCTTCCCATCTTCCCTCAGTACAAGATCCTGCTGCGCGGGTGCCGGTATGAGCTGTTCGGAGGAAACCCGGACAATTTTCCGACGGAGCTGGACGGGGGCGCCCAGGGACACCTGACGCAGCCGCTTCTGGGGGAGCAGAGCCTGCTGACGCACGGGTCCCCAACGTACAGCTTCTCCAGCGACTCCCCCTTGGAGTCCCCCACCAAGTACCCCCCACTCTACCCTCCAGGCAGGATCATCCACCTGGAGGAAGAAGGCACCTCAGGGAGGTGAGTGCAGGCCGGGGGCGGGTTGGGGGGGGGTGGTGCCGGGCCCCCAGGGGGCTCAGTTAGTGGGAAGAAACCACATGCAGCCCCGCGGGCACTGCGCCCCTTCACCTTCTGCCCCTCTCAGGTTTTGCCGCGCCGCTGCTCAGTATAGCGCAAGGTGGGCACATGAGTCACAGTTCAGCAAGATCCTCATCGGCCCAAAGATGTTGACAGACCACATGCCCGACGTCCTGGTGAAAGCCTTGGACAGCGTGGTGTCTGACAGGGCTGCCTACGTCTTCTGTCCCCCTGGAGGCGGCTCTAATGTGGACATGGTGTGATGAGAGCCGCCGCTTACGTTTCTTCTTCCGCGGACAGTCGCAGAGTAGGTTCGGGAGGCCAGTACCTTGGATGCCCGCCGATAGGAATTCGACAGGTACTGGACTTGGTGGTCTTCATCTTCACTCAGGTGAATCCCTGAGTAATTTGGGAAATCACTTTGGTCACTTTGATCACAGTATTAGCAAGATCAGGTGTCAGGAGAGAACATGGAGATGACGGGACTAGTGTAGGAAGCTTCAGGAAGCTCCAGGGCAGTTCCCTGCTGCTCTCAGAACTGTCCCAGCAAACAGTGTGGTCCATGGCCGGGTTTGAGGCCCGAATAGATCTGTGGACTCTCGCCCCGCGCCCCACCTTTCTCCACTGCGAGCTCTCGTCTTAACACTGTTTAGGGGTCTGAACCCAGCATACAGACATGCAGTTTATTTTGCAAACTGGATTGTCCTGCTACACAGACTTCGCGCTTCATTGTGAGGGTGCAGATGGGTTTTCTTCCGGGTGGGCCTACGCGCCAGTGCCGAGGTTGGGCTGGGAGATGGGGGCGCCTGCTCTTCAGTGCTCCGGCCTCCCTAACATCATGCCGACTGCTTCGTGTGCACGTATCATTCTGGCTTTTGGAGGTCAGCTAGGAGGCTCCGAGGGAGTTTCTAATAAAGCACTTACACATGTCCTTCGTGTCTGTACAGTAATGTGCTCTTCCACTGGATGTTTGTAGGAAGGCCTGATTTGCTGGGTGGTTTTACAGGAATCTCATTTTAAAAGCTTTCTGTCTAAACAACAAAACTGAAGTCATTTTGGACAGTGTTTTGGGAGCTCTGGGCTAAAGACTGAAGATTGCAGAGGGATCTGACTGAACCCCACCAAAGTGCTAGAGAATGAGAGTACGTGGATTTCTTTACAAAGCATAAATACACAGGACGGGGAAAGAAAAGGAACAAATGGTTGACTGGAAGGAAACAGAATCTTAAGTGGAGGAGATTCACACCCTGGTTCACGGTTTAGCCACCCCACACACCTGGCATGGAGCAGGCACAGAACTAGTCCCAGCAAGCTGGTCTGCCCGGAAGCTGGGAGAAATCGGGCCCTTGGTTTGCTGGGGGGGGGGGCCTGGACAGCAGCACACTTGAAGGCAAAGGGGTGATGTTTCTCAGCTTCTCACACTTGGCTGACAGAACCTTCAAGAGGATTCTCCAGGGTGTCTGATCTCTAGAGACCCTTTCCTCAGGGCCTCTGAGCGGTCATGGCCATTAATGCCTTAAGCCTCTGCAGACCTGCAAAGGCCCACTTAAAAAGCTCTAATTGAAATGCCGTGGTAATGTCTAGTTGCTGTGAGTTTTGATTCTACACAGTTCCCGTACATTTCTAGGGGCAGAAAGCTAACAGATCTGAGGCACCCCTGGGTTCCACCTGTGTGGTCGTTTCCAGCCTGCTCTGTGTGGGCTGTCGACCCTTCGGCCCGAGGCCACCAACCACTGGGCACATGAGCAAAAGCAGCTGGAAGAAACCAATTCCCCCACCACAGCCTGGGAACAGAGAAAACAGATCCCGAGGCTGAAAACTGGTAGAGAAAAAAGAACATCTGAAAATTAAAAGCCAGAAAGATGAACTCTACAGCAGCCAGGCGAGGGCCACCCGCATGATGGCAGGCACAGCAGATGGCACCACTGAGCACAGAGTGCAAGGGAGAAAGCAGCCCGGGTGGTGCGAGGCCGGGGAGACCTCCCGCAGAACCATAAACAGAAGCTCTTCCTGGACAACTGACACAGCCGAGACGTGAGAGCGTGAGTTTCCACACACTTCCTTCTCTGGAAACTCCTGGAGCGTGTGTTTATCATGAAGCAAATTAAGAGACAAGGAGCTGGGGCGCCCGGCTGACCCAATAGGTAGAGCAGTGATTCCTGATCTCAGAGTCAGAGTCTGGGCCCCACAGTGGGTGCAGACATCACTTAAAAAAAAAAAAAAAAACTTCCAAAAACAAAAAATCCATAGAAGATAAATGGTGGCCAGAGAATTCTGAGACTTTAGGAAAATGCAAATTGCTGAAGCTCAGCAAACATCTCGAGTAATTTCAGTATTACTGGAAGTTTGCGGTTAAATCATGAAGCCCACAGAAAAGCAAATAAAGTCTTAATTATCCCCAGAGGAACCAGAAGTTGTGTGGCACAGTTCTGTTCCCAGTGGCTCAGCCAGGAGCATCTGCACGGTGATACGGATGCTGAGTAGCGAACACCAACCAGGACCATGCTCTGGAGGGAAGGAAAGGTATGCTGGGGGTGGGGCGCCACTGGGAAAGCGGCCTTCTGGCTCTAGTGGGAAGGCCGTGGGTGATGGTCTGGGAGGGCCAAGGGTGATGGCCGGAACTGAAAAACACAACCAGCAGTATGGTCTTGTGACTGAACCCGGCCCCCCAACGAGGGGCAAAGGGGCTGGAGGTTGAAGCCAGCAGTTCCGTCACACACGCCTCTAACAGCCTCCACAGGACCCCAGCAGGACAGGTCTAGAGTGCTCGCAGTTCAGATCAGTGAACACGGGGAGGGGGGTACAGATGGGGAATATGTGGGGGCTCCGTTCCCTCCCCCGTACCTGGCCCTACGCATCTCTTCCACATGGGTGTTCGAGTTGTAGCCTTTCCTTGGGAACTGGTGATAAAAACTGGTAGGTAAAGAGAAGATACATCACTTAGACATATGGAGATAAAAAAGATTAAAAGAACTCAAATTGGTTGCCTTTAGGGAGGATGTGATGGGAGCCTGCTGTTGTAACAAACCTTTAGAACCATTTAGTCTTGAAACTGCGTATCTTTTAAAAATACTCAAAAATAAAGCAATCTTCAGAGTGATAAAAAGGAGTTAGGAAATTGATTCTAACATGACCCAGTCATTGAAGTTTCAGGCTCCAGGAACAGACCTTAAAGTCCTCATCAGCCTCCTTCCCCCATTTTTCCGGCTCCCAAAGCCGTCATCTTCAGCCCAGGGCCCTGGTCCCAAGTACTATGCGTGCCAGTGCTGACGGCCCACCCATGGCCGACGGGGCCCTACCGACTCTGCCAGCTTCTCCCCTGGAGGGGCCCCTACCTGTCCCCCCGGCATGAAAACCTGCACTGGAAATGAGTGTTTCCAACAACCCAGGATTTTCAGGTGAGGCAAACGAACACACACCCCACGCTGCTGGAGCTCTCAAGAATTAAAAGTATTACAGTCATATGATTCAAGGATTTATTAAGTCATACATGCAAAACATAACTGCTAATTGCATTAGCAAAAGATCAATGTAAAAACACTCCACAAGTCTGCAACGGTCAATTTAAAAAATTTTGTTATAGTGGTTGAAAGGTCCAACCTTATATTCTTGCCAGCGGGTAAGTTGTACAGAACGTGGTTATTAGCACGAGCACGGGCTTACGGAACCTCACAGACCCAAGGAACGTGGTTAGTTAGGCAGAGCGACAGGAAGCATGTGTCCAGGGGGGAAGGGTCGGGGGGAGGCAAGGCGGAGGGTCAGCATTAGTCAAGGTACAGTACTGGTGATCTGGCAAGACAATGATGTTAAGAAAGTTCATAGTTCAGGAATATCTAAAATATTTCAAAAACTGTAAAGCTGCAACACAATTTTTACACCTAATTACTAGAAAACTAAGGAAAGCGCTTAATAGCTCTGAATAAAGTAATGTGAACAGGAATGCACTTTCACTAATCTACAAAAGAAATGTCTAATGCGTTATCAGAAAGATTTTATAATACAAGGAGGCATATTGCTCATTAAGAAGGGTTCTATAAGAAAAGCACTAAGTTAGCAACTATGGGAACGACCAGTTCAAAGATGAATTAAATGCCCGATCTCAAGAGGGATGGCAGGTCTAAGAAAAAAAGCTTAAAACACTTAGTGATGATCCCGACCTTTCATCGTTCGCTGCATGACAGAAATTAATCTTCTAGGATTTTACCCGTGACACTTTCGGCTTAATAATGACGTGCACAGTGTAGTGTTAAGTTAACCTCCATGTTTTGTCAGAATACTGTCTTCATCCTCTGATCGCGTCCTGTGGTGCGCATGCCCGCCCCGGTGCGCCCCTGGCCACAGTGGCCCCTGCGTCACGGGGACGGGAGCCAGAGGGCGGTTCCAAATCTCAGCCAAAGCAGTTACACTAACTTTAAAAAAAAAAAAAAAAAATCACTACAAAATTAAAAAGATTGATCCAGAGAGCTGAGCTATTACACTCGTTCTGCAAGGACAGCACGTGCCAGGGGCGCACACGGGCTGCGCAGGGAGGAGGTGGTGGGCGCTCCCGCCTGAGACTAGCTAGCGGGCATCTGCGTTTCCCGACTGGAGACGCTGCAGTCTCTCCTCAAAGACAAAGGTCGTAAACGGTTTAGTGCTTAGTGTTCTCAGCACAACGATTCAACTTAGTTCACAAGATATTTTGGCAACTCTTAATCTGAGCAAGAACAGGGGCTTTTAAAAAATAAGGCTTTAAGAACGCTTGCCATTTTAGGGCTAAATTTTAATATAATGTGAAAGTTTGAAGTCTTAAACTTGAAACAAATAAAACCTAAAAATTACCGATTGATTCAAAATGGTTTTATGGAAAAACTAATCTGTAACAAAAACTTGGCATTGAGTGCGAAGGCTCCACCATTTTTGAGCAAAGCATACAAAGGTTCCGAGGGGGACAGGAGAGGGGCCCGGACATTTACAACAGCAGGCATTTTCTCTTCCTCTTCTTGACGGGAGGGGGGCACAGAACTGCTCGAATGGCTTCATCAAACACTGTCTTGAGGCCTCGCTGCGTGAGCGCCGAGCACTCCAGGTATTTTACAGCACCTGCCGAGACAGAGCCAGTCACGCCCGCGAGCCCACTCTTTCCAGCCTGAACAAGGGCAGGAAGCGGCTCCCGGGCCCTGCCGCCTGTGCGGCCCAACCCGAGCCCGCACCCTCCTGGTGAGCATCAAAAGGACCGGAGTCGGTAAAACACGCTCTCTACCTCCCCAGACGGCACTCAAGTCTGTCACAAAAATAAAGCCCATGCAAAGAAAACAGACATGAAAATGCAGGATTTCCTACCGATCTCCTTGGCCATGGCCAAACCCTGCGGGTAGGTGATGGGAGTCAGCTTCTTCTCCTTCAGTTTTTCAATCGTGTCTTTGTCGTCCCTGAGGTCAAGTTTGGTTCCCACCAAGATGATGGGGGTGTTGGGACAGTGGTGTCGCACTTCAGGGTACCACTGGGTGCAAGAGAGAATCATGACCTCTCCTCGCCTCCATCACAGCTGTCCCACCCCACCTTAGTCCCTCGGAGCTCCCTGCGGGCAGGCGACGCTCTCTGCGGGCAGGAGACGCCCTCCAGGCCTTGCTCACTCCTCTCAATCCCTTCAAGAACCACAGGCCCACCTGTGGGCACTGGATCAGCAAGTCAGGACTCCCAAGACTAAGACCTAACAGAACAGGCTCTACTGGTCTGTAAGAACAAGGGGGGGGACTCCCCCTCCCCCCAAAAACCACCTTTTGGTAAATGAGTCAAGTTGTTACATCAACTCTGAGGATACTACCTACCTATTCAGCAGTGAGAATGGACTACATGGACTGAGGTCCCTACTCTCCCTGGACACATCTCTGATCACAGCTGAAGGACATCCCTCGCGTGTCATTTTTCACTAGGAAGTGCGTGAAAGATGTGGAAAGTAGGAAGTCATGGCCACTATCTTTATCAGGTAACTCCATCGGATGGACTCGGAAAGTGCTCTCTGTTTTAACAAGGAACACAGCGTTCCTTCCTGATCAGACCCTGAAACTTTAGAACTCTACGTAAGAGTCAGAGACTTCAAAAACTGATCTACCTAAGCAGAATTACAAAATCAATTTCAGTAATTAAAACTTCTATCACTAAATGGGAATTTTACCTCCTGAAGAGGACATTACGTAGCAAAACACTGGTCTAAAACATCTCCACTTACCTTTGCTCGAACATTTTCAAATGATGCAGGACTCACAAGAGAAAAGCAAATTAGGAATACATCCTATAAAGAGAAAAGACAGGCGGTTAGAAACGGTCTCACAGTGACAAAGGCGCTCTGCTTCATCACTGCTGTGGGACTGAAGCCCGAGCCGAAGCGCACATATTAGGTGCAAGCAGTTGGTGTCTAAAGCGTACTCCCTGGTCACACCCTTCAGTTCTGTCAGAAGCTCCCAGACCAGAACCAGCATGTGAAGCAGCCAGTTACTTAAGAGAAGAAGGGAGAGGATTTACTAGAATGTGCTAGAATTTCCTAGAGGCTAGAGAGGCCTCAAACCAGCCCCCCAGGAGGCCTTTTCCTTTACTCCCAACTCCCACTGGAAACTTTAAATGGTCTTAATTCTATACAGGGACAAAACCAGTGTCATGGTGCCACTCCGGTTATTTCTGTAAAACATGGTCTGTTTTTCAAAAGCAGACTAAAACCTTTATTTTCACATATTGACTCCTTAAGTGACTTAAAATTTAGTATAAATGATTTTGAGAACAACTGAACACAACAGTTTGGCACAAATTCAATGACTCTTGGGAACTGGGAATACCGGTAACCAATATTATTATCAGTTTCCCCTCCTGAGGAGTATTCTTTTAAAAATATGTACAAATGGGATGCTTTTCATTAAGCTCCCCATGTGCACATTAAGTACATTTCAGGTGACCACTGGGTTGCAATTAAACTGCTGCTTTAAGAGCTGCCACCAGCGTCCCCGACACGGAGTCCCCAGCACAAGGTGGGGCCCGGCCATTTGCTAACTGAGCACCTTCGGCCACGAAGGAGGATGCTGCCGTGTGTGAGCGGCGTCTTCCCGGCTGTCCGTTCTCAGACCCAAGCAGGGCCCTGGAGGACTCGCAGCTGGGCAGTCATAGCCGGAATAGAGATTCAAAGGAAAAGTCGGGGCAGAGTAAATACAAGGAGGAATTTCAGACTAAACCTAAGACCTCTGTCCCGCTCTGTATTGTGCAGAGTCAGATGGAAATATTTAGCTGTATTAAAAATGCTTAAGAGTTTCTAAAATGCTCGGTTTATAAATCCCTTTCCTAGGAAAAGGCAATTCTGCTACTTTGTGAACCTGCATCTCCCAAGCTAACAGTCCCCCGCTAGCGCTTTCCATCATCCAGCTGATCCCTTGTACCTGGAAAGGGAAAGAAACATCCCACACAGCAGCTGTTCATCGGTGACAAGTAACAAACACCAGCGCATGCACAGGCTCATCCAAGAATCACCACGGCAGGTCGGCACTGGGTTACGTCATTTCGAAGCAGGTGGGTTAGCTCAGCCGAGCGCCCCAGACACCAGGGACACCGGGGGACACCGAGAGAAGAGGCGCCCGCAGCCATGCTCAGTCCTGCTCTGCGGTGGGCGGCAGGTGGAGCCTCCGCAGCCCGGCCGCCACCAGCCCAGGGGAGGCCCCTCGCCAAAGTCCCTCCTTTCACGCGGAAGGAGGGCAGCAAGCAGTTCACAAACCGCTTTAATTCAAGCCAGTAGGTAAACTGTCTCGCTCCTCTGAAAGCACATTTCATCAAGCAAAACCCAACCTCGAGTGAACTGAATACAAAACACTCAAGGAACGTGGGGCTCAAGAGGAAATCCTGGGGGAACTAAGTGAAATGAGAGAACAGATAAAGCTTGAAACTGAAGTCGATTGAAAGTTTTACATACGGCAACCGGCTTGTCTTTGCCCCTGGAGGTTATATCCTTACCATACGTTTCTCCAACCTAGTAATGCATGAGAACTTTGTTTGAGTTTAGTAAAAACTGAGGAAGATAAAAGTCAACAATATCCATTATTTCTTCTTCATCAGAATTGTCTCAACCCTCCCAAAGGATCTGAAAGCAGAGGATTATCTAGCATCTGTGATGCCAAACCCCACCAAAACTCCATCACACCCTGTGAAGGTCATGGTGAAGATGGAGGTCAGGCACACGCGGGTGGGAGAGGAGGGCTACCCAGAGGAGCACACGGGAGTTTCCTGTTCTGGCAGTGTCACCACGGCGCCCGATGAAGCACCGGGACTCTGTCCTGTCAGCAAATGTGAAGAAAGCAACCGTCCTTCCTTAACGAAGGCACGTCTGTGCGTCTACTGGCACCAGGCATGCGGGTCAAAGATCTGCGTCCACGTTCTTAGCCACAGGCTGGAGGCGACAGCCACAAATGGAGGCGTACCTGCCCTCAGGGCCGGGCCCCGGAAGTGCTGCTGGGTGGGAGCTGCTGCGGGAGGGGAGTGAGACCCTAAGTGTTCACCCCAGGCCCCGCAGCTGTGTATGGGACGGACGCCCAGAAGGGATGGCGTCTCCAGCGTCCACCACAGCTTTCAATTTGTCCCTTTGTTCCAACAAAAATCTAAAGACTTGCTCTTCAAGCAACACAGAACCCTATGCATCTTCTGAGACAGACGAACAAGAGAATTAACTTCCTCTCTCTCTGGCTTCTCCGACCCATGATGTGAGAATATAAAAGTTGCCATTTTCACCTATGGGCTACTCATGAAGATTCATGCTCCCGGGGCCTTGACATGATGCCAAATCCTTACTGTGACGCAGAGACCCCTGGGGATAGGCCACAAAAATGAGGCTTCAAAATATCCTCCTACCACATCTGTTCTACCCTTCTCGATTTCTAAAACATCCTTTTTAATGAAGAAAAATGCTTTCCATCCTACGTGAACATTCTGCCATCTGCCCGTTCCTTTCTCATCCCCCCAGCCTAAATATGGCTTTAAAAATATCTAGTGCTTCTAAAAAAATTACATGGAAATAATAAAACTTGAGAAGAAAATGTCTAGTGCTTCTGATACTTCGGTCTTCCAGCAGCAACTCGCTCCAATATTCGCCTTCCAACCCAACGCTCCGCACAGACTGCTGTTCGGCCTCAGTGGGCGGTGTCTCCCGTTCATGCGGGAGCCTGGAGCCCGGTGGCAGGGGCCGCCTGGCCTTCCTCCCGGTGTCACCGTGTGTCCTGGAGCCTCTTTACTCCACCTGGGCCGCCCTGGGTCGCAGGCTCCCCTTCCCTCCGGCCTGAACGCTGCCCTCCTCACGCCGGCAGCTGATTCCTGACCACACAGGCTCCTGCCAGGCCTTCTGTGACTTGGCTCCATGTCGGATACACTGCTCCCTCATGGTCACGTCTGCCGCCTCCCCCCGGTGTGTGGCAGGCACCACGGACCCGGAGTGGACTCGGGGGCGGCTGCGATCTCCCGACTCCGAACATCCTACGGCTGCTCGCTCTCTTGCTCTCACTCCCTCTCTCATTTCCTTCTCTTCCCAACGCCTTCCAGCCGGCTCTTCCTTTCAGGCCAGGCACAGTTCTTACTGCAGGCATTCTAGGAGCCGGGAAAGGAGCAGGACGCACACGGGGCAGAGCAAAGACGCATACGTGTGGCACCCACGGGGAGCGGCTTGGGAAAGCAGCGCAGGGCAAAGACAAGGGCCGCCCCAGAGCTGGGAGCCAGCGTGGCGCTCACAGCTTGGCTACATGGCAGGCTCCCGCCGAAGATGACAGTCTCCCAGAGCACCGTGTCACATCGCGGGGCCACACTGACGTGAGAACAGAAGTAAAGAAACAAAGAGAAGACCACTTAACAATCCTAACAAGGTCACCATGCAAACTACGGAAATCCCAAACGTCCCCCCCTCACAGCCAACAAGGCTGTGTGACAGCGTCTGCCCGGTCACAGATCTGGCCACATGTCCTCCTCCCCGCCCTGGAACTACCCTGCTTCCTGCCAGCACCCAATCCAGAGGAAGCCCTAGCCCAAATCACACACCACGCTGTCCCCGAGGCGCAGGTCTCGCTCAGGGCAGAAGAACAAACCTGACTTCGTTCAGCCACAGGTGTGTTCCTAGTGACCTGTGGCTGGAGAACACAGAGGCTGCCACGCAAACAAAGTAGAAAAAGCCATCTGAAAACCCAAACGGCTAAACCCAACACATACAGCCATTTCTCCTTGTGGTCCAGGTCACACCTGGCACTTCCAAGCTGAGCGCCCACGGAAACTACAGCCGGGCCCGGATGCCAAGAGGCCCGGCATCTCGGGCAACCGCGGGCCTCGCTGGACCCACACAGAACACAGGCCTTGTGAGCCTGCAAGTCACGCACGTTCCCACACCCACCACTAAATCCTGGAACAAGCAGGCAAACGCAGCTGACTGGACACGATGGAAGGTGCTGGGCCCGAGCATTACACAGGTCATGCCGCCACAATGACAGGCCAACTGCAGATGGATGTACAGAGCTTATAGGACAGCAGGCACCACGCCAGGCCTCCTTAAAATACGGGGCTCAAACTCACAATCGTGAGATCAAGGCCTGAGCTGAGATCAAGAGTCCGACATTTATCCCACTGAGCCACCCATGAGCCCCTATTACAGGACATTCTTAAAAAGAAAGTACAAAGACAACTTACTAAAGGACAGGAAAGCCTAAGGATGACTTAATTTGGACAAATAAAAATCTGAAGGGCAATTTCTACTGAATGTGAGTCCCTGCTTGCCATCTTCCAGAGAACGTTAGAACAAATGCCTTCAACAGACTTAGCTTCGCTACTCACAGCTGCCCAACAGAGGACAGTGGCATTAAATGCCCACAGGAAACATGACCTCTATTTTGGGGGGGGGGTCACCAAGCCCTAAACAGGGTGAGATGTGGACACAAAATCGTCCTCCAGCCCTCTAGGAGAGAGTCTTGAGCAGTAATGGATGAGCCACATAAACAGCCTGTAAACCAAAGAGCCACCTTCCAGTGAGTACAAAGTTCAGGGGCGTCCCCACAGCCAAGGTGCCAGCCGGCAGCCACCAGGCCTGCTCCCCCCTGGCGGGACAGCGTGTTGCAAAGGAAGGAGACCTTCCAGGCACCAGTCTCCGCATTCAGGGCCGCTGCCGCCACCCCCCACCCTCCAGGAGCCAACAAAACCTCCTCATCCACACGACGCCAGCGGGCGCATCTTTAACTGCTATCCGGCCACTCTACCCGCTGCTCAAAGGCACCAAGGACACCCCTCTGTTGGCACGTGACACGTCACACAGGATGTGCATGAGCCATCTGAGAGTCAGTTATGCCTCACCCCCCCCACCCCCTTAGCCGTTCCAGTACGTGGCAGGAAAAGAGCACCTTACACAGATGGGGCACGGGGAGTGAAATCCTGCCCTAGGAGGACAACACCCTGTGGCCTGACTCAATCTGTCACTTTACCTGCGTATCCTCTGGCATATGGAGTGGGGACCTTGCCAAGTCACCTTTGACTTACGGCGAGGGACTCCTCAGAGAGAAAGGACGCACCCTCCCTGCACCCATGAGTCACGGGAGGAGTTCCTACTTCTCAGAAGTGACACCCCACCCTTCCAGACAGCCAGTGGGGTAAAGACTCCTACTCTGTCCGTCAAAAGGTGAGGAGAGTAAATCTACTTAAAATCTGGAATTATCAAGCACCCACTGGGGATGGAATAGTTTCCTAAACACGGTGAAGAATTCAAACCATTTGGTGATTATGAGCTGATTTTCAAAACTTAATCACAGTTAATTTTTAGCTGGAGATTAACTGAGCCATCATTCATTCAAACCTCCCATTTTACAGTTCTGGTCTTTTTTTTTTAGGACTGTTACAATTCATCTGAAGGACAATCAGCAAAAATCTGCAGCTTGAAACAAATGGATTTGGCAGTTACTCCAGCAGGAAATAACAGAAGACAATGACCGTTGCATTGTAAACCTGTACTCAGAAGTATAAAACTATCCATTACTAAAAATAGGAAGTTAAATTTAAAAACAAAACCAAGATGTGGGGAGGCTGGAACTATGGTTTTGTCCACCCACACTACGCCCCAAGAAAGTGACGTTCAGAGCCAGCCAAGGGTCGACTCCTGTCTTCACCAGGGTGTTGCCTTGACCCCGACCCCTCTGTCATCCAGGCTTGCTGAGAGCATGCGCAGCAGCTTCCAGTCATTCAGGCCTAGCCAGCTAGGACTTGAAGAGCTCTCCAGATGTGTGAGTCTTCATGGCTGCGACACTAGAGTGCCTGGGACGTGCCTGGACCCTTCTGTGCGCTTTGTACATATTGCTCACCTAATCCTATGAGGAGACAGGTCAAGACAGAGCCCTGAGGAAACCTGCCAGGGTCACAGAGCTAGGAAGCAAGAGCGCAGGGTGGAAACCTAAGGAATGTGCACTCGTGCGTAGTCTTTTGGCCAGTGAGCCTCCTGAGTCTCCAGAGTTGTTTTAAAATACTTTTAAGATGAACAACAAACATGTAACAAGAGAAGCAAACGATGCAAATAAGACCTGATTAAAAGAAAAGTGGTTTTTAAGCATATTTTCACCAGCTACTACTCTCATTGGCTTTTGGTACACAGGTCATTTGTCTGAAATGGGAGCAAAACTAATCTAGAAGTACTTCTGATGGGACACAGTGGGTATAATTGTACAAAACTGAAACCTGAACCTACATCGCAAAGACTTAGGAGCTTAAAGCGACAGAGGGCGTCTGGGTGGAGCCCCTGGCTGGCTCAGTGGGTAGAGTGTATGGCTCTTGACCTCAGATTCGTGAGCAAGGAGCCCAATTAAATTAAAAAAAAAAAGAGAAGAAAAATATTAAACCCAAAAGACAAGTCACTAACTTGATTTCCAAAAACCTTAATCCTAACAGGGCACCTGGGTAGCTCAGTCGGTTAGGCATCCGACTCTTGATTTTGGGTCAGGTCGTGATCTCCCAGTTCAGGAGGGTCGAGCCCCACACCAGGCTCTAGGCTGACAGAGAAGACTCTGCTTGGAATTCTCTCTCTCTGCCCCTCCCGTGTTTGCACTCTCACTCTCAAAATAAATAAATAAACATTAAAAAAAAAAATCTTAATCCTAATGATTTAATTTGATTCTGTGGTACAGAACTGTTACAAAGCAAACTGATCTTGAAACTAATTACTGCTGAAACTGGTTTGCAAAAACAGAATGGTACCTCTTTCATACAGTTATCCTAAAATAAAAAATGAATGTATGTAAAATATATGACACCGTATTTACCAAAGAAATGAGAACAAGCAGGGGCGCCTGGGTGGCTCAGTCAGTTAAGCGTCCAACTTCAGCTCAGGCCATGATCTCAGAGTTTGTGGGTTTGAACCCCACGTCGGGCTCTGTGCTAACAGCTAGCTCAGAGCCTGGAGCCCATTTCAGATTCTGTGTCTCCCTCTCTCTCTGACCCTCCCCTGCTCACACTGTCTTTCTGAGGAATAAATAAAACATTAAAAAAAAAAAAAAAAAAAAGAAATGAGAACAAGCAAACTCTTGGTTTGCATCTCGGGGGACACCTGCTACTGAACTATCGCGAGCTTGTATTACTCAGTATGCACCAAAGATGGCAATACAGCAGACCCCTAAACAACTACAGCAGACCCCTAAACAACGTGAGGGGGGGCCTAGGGGTGCTGACCCCCCCAGCAATCAAAACTCCATGTATTACTTTGACTCCCTGAAAATTTAACAAATGGCTTGCCGCTGACCAGAAGCCTTACCAGCAGTATGAACAGTTGATGGACATAGGTTTCGTATGTTACATGCATTGTGCACTGTGTTCTTACACTAGAGTAAGCCAAAGAAAATGTCACTAAAGGGTACCTGGGTGGCTCAGTCACTTGAGGGTCAGACTTTGGCTCAGGTCATGGTCTCTCCGTTGAGTTCAAGCCCTGCGTCAGGTTCTGTGCTGACAGCTCAAAACCTTGAGTCCGCTTCAGATTCTGTGTCTCCCCCTCTCTCTGCCCCTCCCCCGCTCATACTTTGTGTCTCTCTCAAAAATAAACATTAAAAAAAATTTTTAAGAACAATTTTTTAATGTTTATCTTGAGTGAGAGAGAGAGCGAGCAGAGGAGGGACAGAGAGAGAAAGAGACAGAATCCGAAGCAGACTCCAGGCTCCAGTTGTCAGCATAGAACCTGATATGAGGCTTAAACTCACAAACCATGAGATCATGACCTGAGCAGAAGCCGGATGCTTAACCGACTGAGTGACCCAGGTGCCCCTAAAAAAATGTTTTTAAATTAAAAATTTAAAAAGTCACTAAGAAGATCTGGAGAAAGAAACATACTCACTGAAATATACCTACAGGCCTTGTCTAAGCGGACACGTGCATTCAAACGTGAGGGCCAACTGTGCAAGCAAACCCACAAGTGATACGCAATTTCAATATTCAGAAATCATATATTCTAAAGGACACATTAAAAGTCAGTCATGATCCTTACTGTTTGCGGATAGGATAAGGGACGTAATCTGTCATAATCTTCTTGTCCAGCTGTGTCCCATAAGCCCAGATTCACCGGTTTTCCATCCACCATAACGTTGGCAGAGTAGTTGTCAAAACTGCGGAATAGAGTAAAAACGGTTAGTCTTTAGCTGTGAAGCATTAGGTGCAGATCAGGGACTCGGGTGACTGTCCTAGCGAGGGTCCCAGAGGAGATGTGCCAAGGCTGGGCGCGGCCTGGAGACTGCCAGGCCAGCAGCAGGGCTGCACACAGGCGCCGGGGCAACTGACTGGGGGAGGGAAAGCGGGCCCGAGTGTAAGTGAAACAAATCAACACCTGGAGAAACCCACCCAAGAAACAAAGGACAAGCTAGTCAGTGTAACCAAAACAAGGTACTGTCGGCAACAGGAAACCTTTGCCTTTTCAACAGAACATTAAGATTCTTCTACCCCAAAGAAACAGAGTATAAAATCAATCCCTCTTTCAAATCCCACTTGTTGAGATTTATTTTCGGGTATGTATGCTTCATCTTCAACAAGGTGGCGCAGCACAGAGCCACCGCACCGAGGCAGGGCAACAATTAGGTCGTGGTCATCCAGCCAGGCCTACGACCAAAGCGCAATGGGAACACAACACAAACCTGATGTGAGGGGCTATCATGTACCATTTTCAGAGTAAGTGTACCGGGTTACACGCATACCTAAAGTCACCTGAAGTTGCTACACAAAAATTACTTAATGATAAGCAGAGGCGGCCCAAGAAAGCCTGGCTGACAGGCAGAAAATAAGGATGACTTAAAACTCACAAGTACCACCAAGTACTTCATTAGAAAGAAAACCTGGCATTGCCACTTAAACCAGGGCAAGTACCAAACAGGACACAATACAGCTGCCTGTAAGATACAGTTCGGAATCCACGTTCACATACTCTCAACATTAAAACTCAGGACTTCCTAAACTGCAGCAGCAAAGCCCAAGTCTGAGTAAGGCTCCAATATGGCTTAAAGAACAGAACGACGAAACTAGCTTTTGTGAAGAGAAAAGTCTGGGTACCGTAATTCTGCTTCTGTGAGAAAAGGGCAGATTAATCAAATACACAAGATCGGACTTTTTTTCCACATGGGAAAAAGAATCAAGTGTCTGTCTTCTACTATTTCAAAAAATAAATTCTAAATGAATTAACGATTAAAAGCTTTAGCCACAAAAATCTAGAACAAACACTTTTCCATCACTGAAGTAGGAATGGTCTTACTCAATGAAGGCAGAGTGAAATATTTACATAAAAACATCACACTTCCTGGGGCACCTTGGGCGGCTTAGTTGGTTGAGCATCCCACTTTGGCTCAGGTCATGATCTTACAGTTCGTAGGTTTGAGCCCTGCACTGGGCTCTATGCTGATAGCACGGAGCCTGCTTCAGATCCTCTATCCTTCCCCTCCACCTCTGCCCCTCCCCTGCTCATGCTCCTTTCAAAAATAAAGTGAAAAACAAAAACAAAAACACAATCAAACTTCTTTATGGCAGAAGACCTCATAATGAAGTTCAAAGACAAATGAGAGACAGAAGGATTGAGATTTCTCATACACAGAAGTTCCATCAGTAAGAAAAAAGTCTTAGTAGGAAAATAAGTAAAAGATTTCAACAGGCCATCCACAGAAGACTACAAATGGACAGCGAACATTTGAGAGATTTCAACCCCACCAGGGATCAGAAATGCAAATGAGAAAGTAACTTTTTCAACTCCTGTCACCCACAGTCCGACAAGGGGCCTGCTTCAGTCACAGCTGGTCCAAGTATAGCCCTTTGGCAGCAAGTGGGTAGTTATCTATCAGAAATGGAAATATCCACTCCCTTCGGATGTAGCACACCTCCACTTCTCAGCATCTGTATCTATGTGCACAAAGACACGTGCGATGTTTAACCCAGTAAAAAATCCCCAAACGAACCTCATGACCAGTGGTTCTATCAGCCACAGTAGTTCAAAGTCACTGACAGTGATAATGATTTAGTTCTACCTCCATGTGGAGATGAGGAAAGTCCCCACCATAAAACCAGAACGACATGGAGAGTATGATCCCACTTCTGTGAAACTCTGGGCAACACTGCAGTGCACATGCTGTGCTCGACAAGATCAGCATGGGTGGGACATGAGGTTTCCTCTACCAGGATAGCAGCTCTAAGGACAGAGCTGACACCACGGCCCCAGGGTGACGTGTTATGAGGCTCAGTTACAGGGGCTCCGCAGAATCCCATCATTAAAAAAACAATCCCATCTCCACCCAATTCTGGGGCCCAGAAGGAATAAGCGACTCGGTAGCCAATTGTGTCCTCCTGTAACGGCCCCCCAACACCACCCTGTTTCAGTTCCACAGCCTGATAACTTAACAGTGACCTGTAACCATTGAGATCACTTGCCAGAAAAGGCCAATTACAATAAAACGGACTATTTCATGTTCCGGCTCCTTGATCCTTCACACACAGATCTAGAGAGCCAAACTGATCTGAAACTCTTACGTTATCCAGTCTTCTCATTTCTGTTTGTTAACTTTGTTTCCTGAAGGTCTAAAAACCAATTAGGAAAGCTGTGTGTCTCATCACAAGGTAGAAACTTTAGATTAAGTATTTTTTAAAAGCCCAAGTATCTTATAATCAGCCACTGGTGAATGGTTTAAGTGGAAAATTAATCAGATCTATTCACGTAAGTATTAAGAATGCCTTTACAGCAAAACAAAGGTCAGAGGAAAAAAAGAACAACAACAACAACAAAAAAGCACATCACAAACAAGTAAATTCCTTATTTAACTCAAGATACTTACACAGTGGGGATATATTCTCCAGGAAATGCATTGGTTGTGTAACTGATAAGTAGGCACGTTTTACCTACAGCTCTAAGGAGAGAGAAAAAAATGATGTAAGTTGGTTAGTCAACACGAATGTAATCATTTCATTATTCTGTTAAATTCATAGAAAAATCAAGAAGTACACAAGTACTTAGCATTAAACAGTTTCTGTAACCTTTTACTTAACGCTACACATTTTTATCCTGAAATTTACAGTAAACAATTGTAAATTGCTCAAAAAGGAGCCTTCCTGCTCTGTTTTGGCTTTAGCATTCACAGAACCAGCTGTTAAATAAGCACAGGTTGAAGAGGAACAACAGTTTAAAATGGAAAAGTCTCTGTGTGAACATTTGTACAAGCCTCTCATCGGAGAATCTTCATTTCTATCCTCATTTTGATATTTACTAATAAGCAAACACAGCCTTCCTCTCTGCAACTTCGACTTGGTTGCTAAGTAATAAACTTTGCTGCCTCAGAGCGGTAGCTCAAACCCACCACCTTTTAAGGCCTTCCCTCTGGCACCAGTAATGACTGTTCTCTTAACAGCGTGCTTAGTCACTAACGCCCCACACATAGAGCTGTGAACCACAAAGAGCCATACACAGCTCACTTTATTCATCTGTATTCACTGGCCACTCCACAACCCCCATCCTCACACCTCACCATCCGCCTTTAGAGCAGCTAACACAGTATATTCTGGACATATTAATTAACAGCTCAGGGGTGCTGGCATAAACTTCCCAAACAAAGCTGCAAAGAGGAGAAAGTAAAAAAAGAATCATGGAGAAAATCTCCAAAGACAGAAGGTCCTCCTGCACAACTAGTGGGGGTACAGTGTGCCACCTGGCAGAGGTCAGAGTGCTGACTTCGAGTCTCCCAACCACTTGAAATTTTCACCAGAATATCACAAATTAAGATCACTGTGCCCTTAGCCAAAAAATGAATTCCGAATCTGACATTCTCAGGGTGACTTCAGGCGCTTCTGAGAGCCTGTGTCCCCGGCCTGATTCACTATATGTTCTTAAAAGAGCCCATCTCCCTTCTGTTGGTTTACAAGGTCACGTCACACAAGTTCTAAATTGTACGATTTTGTTGTCCAATCTCAACTACTATGAATTAGGATTCACCATAAAGAAGTTAAGTGCTTTTCTATTTTCACAGCACTCTTAGCTTAAGGCAAAAACCTCTCAGTGAAGACAGATTACAAGCCCATCCGGTTTGCCAATACTTGTTTTACTCATAACATTATTAAGGGCTTAAAAATTGAACTCCCACCCTGAAGACCTCACAGACTCAAACATTACATTACATCATCAGGAAGTAGCTCCCAACTCCTAAAGGCTTTCTAAACAAAAATGACTCACTGACCGTACATTTTGTTAAAGCTTATAGTGTCAACCTACACATGCAGGAGGTAGAGATCTGCAGTCATTACCCTAGATTGGAGACCCAGGGCCAACTCTGTATCTTATTAGCTGGACTTTTTGTAAGCTTCAACTTCCTTATGCGCCTCAGTTTTTTCAAATGTAAAATGGATGCAAAATTACTAAAAGCATTAATTCTACTTCGATCTGTACCAACAAAGCATATACTATGCAAAGTAGTATACTAGGTATTGAAGATTTTGCAAGGAAGACGACTTCACGGAATTTGTGTTGTTATTTTAACGTTTGTTTCTTTTTTGAGAGAGAGTGGGACAGTGTGAGTTGAGGGGCAGAGAGAGAGACTCAGAATCTGAAGCAAGTTCCCCAGGCTCTGTCTGAGCTGAGAACACAGAACCTGACAGGGCCAGAACAGAGTACAAGATCATGACCTGAGTGGAAGTCAGACGCTTAATGGACTAAGCTACCCAGATGCCCCATTTAGGCAGTTATTAAAGCAAAAATGAAGAGTACATGGGGCACCTGGGTGGCTCAATCTGTTAAGCGTGAGACTCCCTCTTTTTTTTTTTTAATGTTTTATTTATTTCTGAGAGAGACAGAGAGACTGACAGACAGCGTGAGCAGGGGAGGGTCAGAGAGAGAAGGAGACACAGAATCTGAAGCAGGCTCAAGGCTCTGAGGTAGCTGTCAGCAGAGCCTGACGCAGGACTCGAACCCACAAACCGGGAGATCATGACCTGAGCCGAAGTTGGATGCTTAACCGGCTGAGCCACCCAGGCACCCCACGCGTGAGACTAGATCTTGGCTCGGGTCAAGATCTCATGGTTCAAGGGATCAAGCCCTTCACTGACGGCACAGAGCCTGCTTGGGATTCTCTCTTTCCCTCTCTGACCCAGTCATGTTCTCTCTAAATTAAATAAGTAAATAAATAAATAAAACATTTTAAAAAATGAAGAGTACAGTCATTACATAAAATTTTAGTGTGACAACTATTACTAAAGATGGTCTGGGGGATGCCTGGCTGGATCAATCAGTAGAGCATCCAACTCTCAACCTCAGGGTCCTAGTTTGAGCCCCACATAGGCGTACAGCCTACTTTTAAAAAAAGGTATCTTTTGGGGCACCTGGGTGGCTCAGTGTGTTAAGCAACCAACTCTTAATCTCAGCTCAGGTCTTGATCTCAGGGTTGGGAGTTCAAGCCTTGGATTGGGCTCTGCACTGGGTATGAAGCCTACTTAAAAAAAAGATGTGAGTGGGGGGGCAGGGGGCACCTGAGTGGCTCAGTTGCTTAAGCATCTGACTTCGGCTCAGGTCATGACCTCACAGTTCTTGAGTGTGAGCCCCATGTTGGGCTCTGGGCTGACAGCTCAGAACCTGGAGACTGCTTCAGATTCTGTTTCTCTCTCTCTCTGCCCCTCCCTTGCTCATACTGTCTCTCCCTCAAATATAAATAATAAACATTTAAAAATTTTTTTAAAAAGATGCTCTTGGAAATGTATAGCAAAAGGATCTAACTTAGTCTTGGAGCTGATCGAGGAGGTCGCAATGTACACTGAAACCAGGAGTGGGGACATGACAGGAGGAACATTCTAGGCAAAAACAGCAGCATTTTTTTTTTCCACTTGATAACATTGTTTAATGACAGAATGCTCAGTTTTACCTAGAACTTTCAAGTCTTTTTTTTTTTTTTAATCTATTTGTTTTGACAGAGGGAGGAGGAGGAGGAGGAGGATAGGAAGGGCAGAGAGAGAAGATGAGAGAGAGAATCCCAAGCAGGCTCCCCACTGTCATCAGAGCCAGACACCAGGCTTGATCTCACAAACCGTGAGATCATGAACCGACCCAAAATCAAGAGTCAGATGTTCAGCCACTGAGCCCCCCAAGTGTTCTGACAAATCTTGTTGAGTAGTAACTTAATTTAGTTTTTTTTTTTTTTTAACATTTACTTATTATTGAGAAACAGAGAGAGATAGAGCATGAGCATGGGAGGGGCAGAGAGAGGGGGAGACACAGAATCCGAAGCAGGCTCCAGACTCTGAGCTGTCAGCACAGAGACCGATGCGGGGCTCAAACCCACGAGGGGTGAGATCATGACTGGAGCCAAAGTCAGACACTCAACTGACTGAACCACCCAGGCACCCCTAATTTAGTTTGTTTTTTTTTTTTTTAATGCAAACAAACCAACATGATAAACATTGGTTTTCTTTTACCCTTATGGGCTTCCTTGGAATTAAAAGACACTCACACCTCATGTGTGAGTTGAAATTTTTGGTATCCATCTACATGGAATAAAGTGATGATGAGGTTACCTTTCTTTAAAGTCAAAGATTTCTTGTCCTATGGATGCTTCATTCAAAATGTCACAAAAACAGAAGCATTTCTAGTGAGTCCAGCACAAATGAAAAATCAAGAACTAAGGGGGAAGCAGCAAAGGAAGCTCTGAGGAGGTTGTCATCTCTTCTTGTTAAGGACATGGGACTTGATCCTACTTGGGAAGTCCCAGAAGATTTTTAGTTGCCAAGAAACCATTAAATTTGCATTTTTAGAAGCAGCCTCTGACTGCAGTGTGGAAAGAGCACTGAGGAAGGAAGCTGGAACTGGAGACAGGAAAATAAGAGTGGTGTGAACCAAGGAGGGGGATTCAGGGTAAAGAGAAGTGGGCCATTTCTAGAGCTTCCTAGGCGTGCAGCAGAACAAGATGGCCCAGCCATGGGCTAGATGTGGTAGCTAAGGAAGAGAATGGAGTCCAAGGCCATAATGGCTGAGCCTCTTTCCAAAATTACAAATGTGTAAAAATGTTAATAGTTACTGCCTCCCAACATCAAAGATAAGCAGCTATAAAGGTTTTAATGGTTATGTTAAAATGTCATAGCAGTACTTCCTTTAAGAGCCTGTCCCAAATCTTTTCCATATGTATAGGAACAAAGCTATTACCATAAATACAACCAACTTTGTTTCAAAAGTTCTAAAATCTCTTTTCCTGAAACTTCACCTTTAGCCAAGGCATCATCTTTTGAAAGGTTTAACTGTAAAGGAACTCAAGGTACTGGCATACCCTGATACTGACAAATTTTATTACCAATCATTACAGCTATAAACCTAATCTAGAAGAAGTTATTAAATTATAAAATTCTGACTTAAGTACATGTCCAACCACTGATTTAAATATTTAACTAATTAAAAAAAAAGATAAAACAAAAAACATTACGGTGATTTACCTCCAATTAGTGTTATTTATTCACTCCTTTTAAACACACTCCACAAGTAAACTCAAGAGGCCAAAGTCAACATGGGCTCCAGGCAGTCAGAGCTCCCCACAGGAAGAATGGAAGTCGCTTTTCATCACAGCCTTGACTGATGCAGCAGCAGAACCTCCGGAAGTTACTATCTGCTTTGGAATTTCCAATTTTATATACACTAAACCGTGCAGCTCAGCCTTTTTTTAATCCTTGAAAGCTGCCACAACTTTAGAAAATGAACAAAATAAAGTTCATGTGAGCATTTTTTAAAGCCTATCTGTGCCTCTCCTGCTCTTATAGAAATTATAAAGATTAAAGCCAGTAACTCATGTTCCTATTATGTTCTTTATTTTCCTATTAGAACTTCAAGGAGGGGCGCCTGGGTGGCTTAGTCGGTTAAGCGTCCGACTTTTGCTTAGGTCATGAT